AGCGCCAGCCCCTCCCCTCTCCGCCCCCGGAGCCGAGTCGAACCGGGGGCCACCTTTCCGCTCGCACCCCCTCCGCCCCAGCCGGCAGTGCCCGGGACTCACTTGTGTCGGCTTCGCTGCCTCCGCTGCCTCCTCACAGGGCCCCCCAGTTCCGGGCCAGCTGCCTTGTAATCACTTCCGGTAGGTTAAAGGTTAGCACCGCCTCCCGCCACCATAGGGACAGACGGCGTTCCAGCCTTCTGCCCTGAACGGTTTACCAAGTCCACGTCCCAGCATGCTTTGGGCCACGGCCGCCTGTGCCAGTGGGACGAATACTGCATGCTGGGAGATGTAGTTCGCAGCAGGCACTGTAGCTGACTGGCGAGAGTTAGCGCAAGAGCTCCTCCAACATAGTAGGGATGTAAATCCCCGTCAATCACTTAACCATCTATGCGGCAATCCCTCGCGGTAAGGGCGAGGAGCGGTAGCGACCGGCTTCTGCAGTCGGCGCCCCCATGTGATGTGCGGCCAGCTTCTGTCCCTTCCTCCCCCCATGATGTGTTGTTATCCATTCACATCCCTATACCATAGTGGAAATAAAAGGCAGATAATCGAGGGCAGTGTTGTGTCCTCAATTTGTGAATGTGTAGTCACAGTATTGCCATGCCAGCTGCAACTAGCCAAAGCTCAGGAGTCTAGCTTTCAATGAAACGCCTGAAGATACATTTGCCCCAGTGCTACAGCTACACTGCAGGTTTCTTGTGCAAGAACTGTTTGGTCTTGCGCAAGAGCGCATCCACACTACCATGTGCTTTTGCACAAGAGCATCCATGGCAGTGTGGATGATCTCTTGCACAAGAAAGCTCCGATGGCCATTTTAGCCATCGGGCTTTCTTGTGCAAGAAATTCATGTTGCACAAGAACAGTTGCACAAGAGGGCTTATTTCTGATCAGGAACATCATAGTTCTTGTGTAAGAAGCACTGATTTCACACATTAGAACATCAGTATTCTTGCGCAAGAACTCCCTGCCAGTGTAGACAGGCAGCATGTTTTTGCGCAAAAGCATGTGCTTCTGCGCAAAATAATACCAATGTAGACACAGCCCTATTGCCCATCCACACTGACTTCTCCTTTAGGAATGTTTGCATAGAAACACACAATTTGGCCTCTCACGGTAGCTTACTTCATCATATCTGAAGCACTATGAGAACACTGCAAACTTTCCAGTCACGATATTACATTTTAGAAAACTAAAATTAAGTCTCAGGCCCCTTCCTAATTTATATAGAAATACTGAGTTGTAACTGGGTCTTCCTAGCATGGCTGTGATTGAAATGTAGCTAATGTTCATGGCCCCAAGCTTTCCAAATGTTGGCAAATAGTTGTTGCAAAAATGCACAAGGTCACTGGTTTGACACAAGCGTGAAGATCGTGAGCCCAATACTGCATGCCACTGAAATCAGTGGGCATCGAAGCAGAGGGGAAAGTAAGGTGGTGCACTGCTCTGGCACGAAAGGACCAGCCAGGTGGGGAAATCCAATGCAAGAGGAGGTTGGTGTGCTCCCAGACAGGCTCCAGAGGCTCTGCTGCAGACGGTCACACTATGCAGACAGCCAGGCAGGTAAAGGAGCTGGCTGGGGCGATGCTTACCGGGTAAGCAATTAACAGGTGGCTTATGCGACGGAGCTGCTCTAACCCGGCGGTAGTGTTCTCCTACAAGCAGGATCCTGGATAACTGGTTAACGTTTAATCGAGTAACTTTTAAAATGTGATTTCACATCTCTACCCTGAGCCCCTCTAACACTCACCAATCCTGACTCCTGCACTCTCCCATACTCAACCCCACACTTCATTGTCTTACAGGCACGGTGGGGTTCCAACCCCCGATCCCTGCGGTGGCGGAATACAGCAGTACCTGTAAGAAATTAAACCCTTACTCCCCCCCTCCCCCACAGTTGAAGTCCAGACGCCCGCGGGAGGTTTAGCAAAGTTCTCCCCAGGTAAGGTTGCAGACACTGGGGCGACC